CACTATTACAAGAACTTGTGGAGATCTCTGCAACATTCTAATAATCCCAAGTTGCAGCAGCTGTTTCCAAACAAACCTATAGTGACTAGATGACAGATTAGTTACATTAGCTACTATAAACTGATTCCAGTGTGTCACTAATAATGAGAGGAAATGTATCTTATGCGGGGTCCACGTGTACTATATGGAAATAAACCTGAAAAGCAGTTAAATAAATGAGGCCATGCAAGCCCAGTAAATGGACAGCTGAGCTACAGCTAAGCTTTCTACCAAGGATCTAGACTGCCTCCATGAATTAGCAAAGTAGGCTTGGAAAATTCTATTATGTCTGTCCTCCTGTAATTTTGCCTGGATGAAATAGTCAGTCAGGATCATTGCTCTCATGGCTCTCATTAACTACTCTGATCTTGATTAACCTAGTTTATTAATCGGCCCCATCTGAACCGACTTTGCGTGACTTTGACTTCATTTGTTAAAGCTCTGGCTCTAGACTTGTATGCCACTTGGCATAACTTTGAGAATCAATGCAAGACTTCTGAAAAGATATTATGATGCTACAATGGCAGAACAGCAGCAATTTTGTCAGTACACATAAGGTAAATGACTGCATTTACTGTATTTGGATGGAAGGCGGTTACGATGAGAAAAGGCAACCTGGTGAAAATTGCTCCCTGTGCTATACAGCGTATTTGATTAGTCCTCTATATCCTACACTACCCCGGTGACATGGAAGCACCAAGGAAGGCTGGAAACACTTTGTTATTCTGGTAAGTGTACAGCAAATGGAGGCAAAAAAAAGAGCAACATCATTATCAGCTGCCTGAGGAAGTTTATGAGCAGGTGTGAAATAGCGGCCGTGTGGTGCAGTGATAGAAGAATGAAGACAGAAGGAGGAGGAGCAGGAGAAGGATGGCGCAGGAGGGGGAATGCCGTGAACATACTGGCTCTACAGAGTTGTTCTGGCTTTCTCCCTGCTGAGAAAACAATCCAGCCAGTACTCATTAGCAGCAGAAGTTTCATTACCACAAAGGTGGAGCCTGTTTAATGAACCCTCGATGAGGAACATGCATCCTGCTTCCCCATTTAAGTTCAGAGGTACTAGGTGATGCGGCCCCCTGAAGCACACTGATTGCTTATTACAGATTCCAATGTTAGAACCTCAAATGTCCTTCACTGCAAGCACAGATGGAGTGTCCAATGAGACATTACAGCATAGTGAGGTGAGGCCATGATGCACAACGGCAGAATACACTGAGGTGATAATAATCATAGTTTGACTGACATCTCAGATTGACACCTCACTGGCTGTTATTGTTGTTCTAATGGCAGATACAAATGGCATTTCATTAGCCATTCCACCGACAGAGCAAAATTTTAATCATGCAGTGAGTCAGCCCTGTGGGACACACAATGGCTATGCTGTACAGATGCTCAAGTTGAGCAGCACAGATTAATGAAACTTCATCATCCAGCTGTTGATTAAAATGAAAACCTAACAATAAACCCAATCTGCGACAGAAAGGAATAAAACTACCGCTTTGTTTGAGCCAAAAAAGAAATCACAGCTTATTCAACTCTGTTCCCACAAAGTTATGGCTTTCCTTCAGGGAAGATGACGAACGAAGGATTCCATTGGAAGTTCTATAAATTGATAACAACAGGCCTTGATTATACAAGTGTGCTTCAGTCTACTGTATAAATGGTACAAAATACAGCCAGCTTATAAAGCTTCTTTAGGCCTAACTAACCCACTGCCTGTTGGGTTCACTGTTTAGTGCAGGAAAAAATTATTAACATTCCTCTGTCTCTAATTCTTAATACAGTATCATGCAAAGACCATATGAATTATTATTATTATTATTATGTTAGTTTGTTTTGCCATGCAGTCTGTCAGGACCCCACCCGTGGCTGTGAGATCTTGCTGCTGATCATTTCTTGTTGGTATGATGTTTTTGATCAGGAATGATAAACAAAAAAAAAGAAAGATCAGATCGCACTGAATACTGAACTATACAAGCTGGACCATAGTTCAAGCATTAACAATCAGTATATGAACAGACAGGTTTTAAGTGCTTTGGAGTTGGAACATGGGGAATGCAGCAGAGAGACATAATTGGGAGGGGACCAGAGGTTCGGTCTTGATTGACAGAGACAGAGCCTTGAGACCACAGCTGAAACAATTTTGACAGGATGAATGCTGACCGCCTGTTGCAAACGTGCTCACGCCTGCAAACCAACACCTAAATAAACAAACATCAATGTGCTTGTGGCCAGCTAAGACTAAATAAAAAATACACACTGCATTCACACATGCACAAGAAACTCTATCCTTTCTCAAAGACAGAGCTTTGTAAGATGACTCTGCTGTAGGTCACATGCAAGATTCTTTTCTTAGCCGACAGCCCACCCCAGAAAAGATCAAATGAATGCATTCAGAGTCCTCATGCAAGCTTTAATCATATCTGGGGATAGCCAAATGAAAAATTCAGCACAAATACTCATACTGCATTAAAAATTGCATTCACCATTTTAGATTAATCAGTCTGAGCAGTATAAAGGCTCATTTGCACTCAAGATTTTTCTCTGACTACAGATGTGAAGCACACATCGCTCAGCACACCCGCAGCAAAATGCCCCTTTACACTCCTATGAACTAACTTGATTTGTGCCCTAAATGTCAAACAGTTCTCATGCTGAAAAACTTCCAATGGATTTTCCGACTCGGGTTCTTGTGGCGCTGTATCAACATTCCATGCTGACGCTGACCTTGTTTTAAAAAGCTGCAATGTCAAACAGCCATCTTGTCCTGTCTCAGCAGTTAGCAAAAAGGCCAACTGTCTTTACTTTCTTTGAAGAAGACAACACAGGCTGAAAAATACTCTTTTTATAGACAAAAGATTACTGTAATGTGAGGCAGATCGATACTAATTAATCCAGTTGATGCAACCACGTGATCTATGACAAACTCAGGCACTAGATCTAACCACACATTATAAATAAAATTCCAATTCTAAATGTGTACATTTGTCTACGCAAGACAGAAAAAGAGAATCATAGCAGATGTAGTGCTCAACGGCCTGTCAGCTGTGCATGAAGCCTGATCCTACTATAGCTGGGCAATCACAATTAGCCATCATTAGTCGGGAATTTATACAGTGCCTAATTGTACTTAATTCACTGAGTAGGTTGGCTCATTCTCATAATTTCCCAGCAGTAAACTTCATTTATCTTCTAACTACAGCTGTGGGACAGAGTTAGGAAGTTTATACTCGCTTATCTGCACCCATTAATTGAATACTGTAACAAAGGCCACATGTAAGCAGCTGTCTGACCCTAAAACAGGTTATTTTTCCAATTCTGTGAAAGCTGCAAATACATGAGAACAAGTAAAAGTCACTCCCAGAAACTAGAACGGACTGAAATGTCTTAAATGCCTGGAGCTGCACAAGGAAGGACACCGTTGTTTTTATTCCAACAATTATGAGCAATAAAATGTCCTAAATTGGACTAGGTTCTACTGTCCTAGAGATCGCAATGTGATTTCTTATTTGCCACAAAGTGAACAGCTCTGTAACTGTTCTCTCATCACCTGGAGTAGAACAGAAGAATAATATAATGCTTTTTTTTTTTTACCTTAGCTCACGTTTTGAGACTGAAGTAGCAAGGAGATTCTCTTGGTAAGTAGATCTGTCACGTACTTGTGCAATAATTCAAGCTGCTTTATTGCTTGAAGATCAGTTTAGGCAAATTTTGAGAACAGTCAGCACTGAGGACATCTGATTCAGGTTTAAACAGCCCCAACAAAAGCCATTCTATAAACACAAGTGGTATTTTTTACATTACATATAAACACATTAGGTATTATTTTTCCTTTCCTGTGTTGTAGAGCAAAGGGAGAAGGGAACACTTAGGCAAGACTGTTTCTAAGACAGCACAGGCATGTGAATGTGTGTTTACATACATGTACTTCAAGGGGAGTCTCAGGTCTGTGGGTGTGAGCAACACATGGGGAATAGTAGAGAGGCGGTCAAGTATGGTGAGGGGGAGGTGGGGAGTGTTTGTGCAACCTGCGGTAGATTTGGCTTTATATTCAGTCACTGTGGCCATTGCTCGCCCAACTGCAATTATTCAAATTTCAGCTCAAGAAATCCAAACAGGGTCTCTCAAGCATTTGTACCTGACAGCATAGCTCATAAAATTAGCTTACTAAGAGCAGCAGTACCCCAGCTGTCGTGTGATAACATTTATCTGGTGTCTATCGGGCGGCAGTCCGCTCTAAGCTGAAACAATGCTCTGTGCCAGCTGAATGTCAGACACACCCTTGTGCCTTGGTATGTAGAAGTCAGCAGTGACTGGGCTGCCCCAGGTTACTACTGTCTGCATACATGGGAGCCACTTTCTGTGTTGTCTTTTGCTAAAAATAATGCATCCTACAACTCCACTCAAGTCTGTGGGAACAATTTGAGCCCAGCCTGCTCTGTGTGTTTGTGTGCGTTACCCCTGCACACACACAAACACACAACTCTAGGCACACAAGACAACATGCAACTAATGCACTAAGGCACTCCTCACAGAAACATGGGAGCAAAAGAACACACACACGTACAATTACTGAAAAATTAAAGGTCTTGTGCTCATTAGATTCTCACATAACAAATGAACTGCTTCAGTCCAGCTCCTCTGTAATCTAAACACATACATTTCAAGTCACATGATACTACTATGTGTTTATATAAGGGGAACATTGCCCAAAAACCTTATATTTCAATGCAGCATTCATGCAGAAACTGATGCTACCTTTATTTTCCAGAAATCTTCCCATATTAAAATATTTACTGACTCACAAAACACATGTAGCTACGAAGGTAGATCATAGTATGAAGGCAAAGTTGTAGATTTGCAGCTAACGACACACACCTCTTGAACTCTTATGCCGGTTTCTTTAGGAAAAAAAAAACAAAAGCAGACAAATACAAGAGGGAACCAAAAGAGAAACTCACCATTGTGCAAGGGCTCCTTGTTATCGGCTACTTTCCTCAGCGCTGACACGATGGCATCAGAGGGAACACGAGGACTCTCCACATATTTGGGTTTCCTGATTGGACCTGCCAGCATGAACCAAAGATGTAGGGAGAATGAGGGAGAGAGAGAGAGAGAGAGAAAGAAAGAGAGAGAGAGTGTGTGTCAAACAGGCAGGGAGGAAAGAAATGCAAAATATGAGAGAAGGAGAGAAACAGAGAGAGAGAGGGAGTTGTCACTGGATGAACGTATTCCAGATGGGGCTAGAGATGAGAGACAGCGGTGTCTTAGTTGGACAGGCTTGGCTGCACTCTGTAGCTCACATAAAACTCACATGCGCACACAGACAGTTTCTCAGACAGCTTGCTGCACTGATAGCGGCTCTGGTTTGTCCGACTCCCAGCAAAACAGCATTAGTCAGCTCTGGGAATGTAAACTACAGCAGGAAACTATAACAATTAGCCTCTTAGTGAACTGGAAAAATTAGTGCATGATGCACTGTAGATGATTTGTATGTTGATCTGCAAATAGACCCTTTAAAGCATCAACTCTTATTACTGGGTAAAGGTTTCTCAGTGCAAGTTCAGATTTATCTTGAATAGTGGTACGGTCCTCAGAGGACTGTCTTTGTGACGAGTCAAGGTTAGCTAGCTGCTCTGTTCCTTCTGCTCACTTCATGACATCTCACTACTTCACACAAAAAGCTTGTTCACTGTGCCAAACTTTACAATAAATCACTGACATACTTACCTCATTAGGGGTTGTGTCTTTGAGTGGTGGCAAATGCCTACTAATCTTTCCTAAAAGTGGCAATATAATTGTTTATACTTGCAGGAGATCCAGTAAAGACACTAGACTAAATACTAAGCCATGAAACAAACATTTCTTGATAAACTAGCTGTGTATATTTGAAGTCCTCTATATCTAGCTCCTATTTTACAGTGCAAAAACTAGACCAAATACAAGAGCAAAAAAACCAAAATAATCTAAAAATCTAAAGGTATAATTGTATAATTGAATCCATAAATCTAACAGGTCTCCTCCTGTACCACTCCTTGATGCTACTCTAGCCCTGACCTTGTGTAACCCAGTCCAAACCACCTCCTCCTCCTCCAGACTCCTGTTATCAGATGACTGGATGTGTAACCCCAGCCATAACATAAAGATTAGATGGGGGAGCAGAGACACCCATTTCCTACCATGGCATCCAATACCAGTCACTCCACCTAAAAAAATAAAATTTGTCTGAAACAGATTGAACTATTCCCTAAAACTACAGCTGTTGGTCTTAGCCACAGATACTAATACTGGAGCTGTGGGTCAGTGAGGTGGGAGTTACAGGAGCAACCATGTGAGAGGAAATGATCTGAGGTGTCATTGCAACAAACCAAGCATAAGAGTCAATGTCAGCTTGAGGCACAGTGCCATCTATGGATATGCAACTTGAAATGCATAGTAAGGAAAGTAGAAAGTAGGAGACTGTGGTAGTGTGAAGTAGCTTTTGGGTTGCTGTACCAAAAAATACCCTGACTCAATACGCACACTGTTAAACTCAAATGACAAAATTTGACAGGTGTTTTACATGAGAATATAAGCTGATAAATGTACTTGATCAATGCCTTTCACAGCTTCAAATTCCACAACCACAATTCAGTTTATATTTGCCCAACAGTTCTCGGTTGGAGGACTGTTGTATGCTGCATCTCTGTCTCAAACAACTCAAATGTTTCCATCATTTTTTTAACCCACTTGCTCTGACAAGATCAAATCTCCTCAAGAAAAGGGGTTAAACTAGTGTTTATTATGTGAAACTGTACCTCATGGAGTAGCTAACAGATCCTAGCAAAAAGAAATAATATCAAAGAGGAAAAGGGATTGATAAAGGAATAAATGGGACTGAAAACCATCATTTGGCACTGTCTGCTCATTCACTCCATATTAATCAGGGTGAAAACAACAGCTGCTCGATTTCAATGTGCAACAAATACATATCTATAGAAATACACCTGTTAAATAAATGAAAAGAAAAGCAAGTACACAGAAGGTAGGGGAGGGGATGGGTTAAGAAAGAAAAACCAAGAAAAAGGAGCATCTCTAGGGTAAAGCAGCCAGGCCAGCTGTGACTGCAGAACGTTTTTTTTTTTTTTTTTTACTCACTGGTATTTACTGAGAGATTCAGGAATCCATGACCAGCGAGCTATCAATCAGCAGGCACATTCATGCACACATACACATACCACACGGTAAAATGCCTATGACCTACAACTTGTAATAAGCATTAAATGCCAGTGGGAGGGAGAAATGCCCATGGGCAGGAAGTGATCGAGGATTTTTCCCAGCATTCTTCAAGAAGGACTGACTTCTTCACATTTCAACTTTTCAATGAGACAGTGTGTCCTCTTTGTGCAGCAAAGGGGAATGAAAGCAGTCTCACAACAGAGGTTTTTATGTTTCAAAATGTCACTCTTCTACTCAAAAGTGAAAAAGGATATATTACAACAAAGATGAATTATAAATGAGACTGCTATTCCGAGTACTACATAACAAACAAGTGGTATTTACTGAAACGTTTACGGACGGTGTGATATATATTCGGTCTTATCAATAACTGTACCAAGATTTTAGTTGAGAAAGATTACAGCCATGGTTCACTGTGAATGTCATATCTGCATGCTAATTTATCATTCATTCTTTTAGCCTGGCATTTTGCCATTATCCGCTCTGATTAATGCATTTTCTGCACTGTACCTGGATAACAGGATGGCAGCTTTTTTAACTCTACATGTTTAATAGTCATGACTAATCTCACACATGCTATTTCACAAGCTGGTATGAATTACCCATGTTTCCACTGTGCACATGGTCAGATTTTCAACAACAGATCATTAACAACTCAAGTAGTGTAAAGTAAGCCCCAAGTTTGCCTTTCCTTTAACCTTCCCTTGAATCTAGTTGGATACACCGCTATGTTATATGAGCATCCAGAGTCTACTGACTGACTGACTGACTGACTAAACAATGACAGCTTATGCAGTGCTAGTCTCGGGCAGGAGGTAAACTGGGATTGCCATTGCTGATGAAAAAAAAAGGGACAGCATGTGATAAGGAGCCAAATCTGGAGTGTAGTGAAGTGGTGAACTGGATAGTACTTTTCACTCAGTGCCCATCAGAGGAACCTTTCAAAGGGTCCCTGCAGCATCGTAGGGTCTTTTACAGCTCAGCTCTGAGAAATGAATCAATATTCCCTCAGGGCTGACGGGTTACTGTCAATACCCCAGAGCTGACTTCAGCAGAGCTCACCTCAGAAAGGCTACAGCTGTCTTTGGAGACGTTTTCTATCCTCGTGACACAACTTCAAAATAAACTGCATTTATCTGGCCATGCTTTTAGAGTACTGTAATCCTCTACATAAGGTTTCCTCTGACATTATTTGTCAGAAAGGTTGTTTAGCTGAAACAGTTTGCAAGAAATGAGATAGTTAAAGGACTTCTATGGCATAAATTTCTGTTAGCCGAAGTGGTTTTAGTTAAAGCAGACACTACTCTTCATCTTGCACATCCTGAGTGACTGCTCTGTAACCATGAGGCTTAGTTAAACATTTCATGAAAAGGCTACGATACTCAGTGACCAACAACAAAAACACACTACAAAGATTACACAGTAGCTTAAACAGCTCACCGCCACTCATGTGTAACGGTCAGTGTGTTCAGGGTGAACAGAGGGGTTGCTGCCACAAAACAAAGATAAAGAGGAGATAAGCAAACAGTGAGGATGGTGAAAGTCGTCACCTGAATGGCTTAAACACACACACACACACACACACACACCTAGATCTGGCAAGTCAAAAGCTAGAAGAAGAATATTTTTTTACACTGGCCTAGGTGTCCAAATAGTGTTTTACCCAATTAATTTCATTAAACAAAAACCTACATAACACTGCTGCCCTTGTAGCTTCATTGCAGTGATTAAAATGATGAGGACAGTAATAAATTAACAAATTACTGTTTACAATATAATCCTTTGCTGGCTGTCACGAAGGAAAAGCATGGGGCTCAATATTTTGTCATGTCACAACAGAAAGGTCACACATCACCTGTACAAACATCACCTCATTATCAACCATCCTCCAGCCTTATTTGGGGGGTGTTCACATATTCTTACGACTCATTTAGCAGTGCAAGATTGAGGACAAACAGACGTTTTGAATCCTACAATAGCACAGTAACCTATTGCAACCAGTGGAGGTCACTGTGGAGGTACCCAGGAGACTGTCAGAGGTGGAGCAGAAAGGGGAAGACAAGTTCTAAGTTCTGTTTAAAAGGAGCTGAAAATCACATTTGCTGTGTCATCGGCTTGACTCTATCCCCTTAAAACTGATCGGCCTCAAGTTTTTCATTACTTGATCTTTGACCCACACTGGTTTAGAACAAGATGGGTCCATTCAAGTGACATTCTTGCAGTAAATGTCCCTCCGCGGGCATTTGGAGGACCTGTAAACGATTACCGCTGCAAAATCTAGGTGCTGTACAACACATGTCAGGATGCTGTTTGATGGTTAAGCTCTGGGCGTAGCTGATCAAAGCGGTAGCAGTCAATGCCACCAGGACTGTGAGGGCTCAAGCTTCTGTCACACTCCTAATTAACTACTTTGTTGTTCCCTGTGAAGTTTTTCATGAAAAGAGCAACCACTAAATTGGGGCCTTCCAAACTGCAATAGATGGTCCAATGTGTCAGGAAATGAAGCCAAGCCACAAAATTCTTTCTGAATCTGTGAAACCACTTCCCTTCAAAAACATCAGTGATGGATGGGAAGAAGAAATGGATGTGTGAAAGAATGCACTGATCGATGTGCTGAATGTGTAAATAAATTTGGGCAGCTTGATTTGAGTAAACAACTAAAAACTAGTTGAGCAGGAAAAGATTCATAGGTACAAACTTTGAGGAAATGTTCTTAATAAGAGCTGTGTGGAATAGTTAGGCACATGTTGAACATGAGCCTGAGGCTGGGGAAAGTACCAGAGCTGTGGAAAACATCCTGCATGATACTGGTACCAAAGACACAGCACCCAAAGGAGAACAGCTACAGGCCGGTGGCACTGACGTCGCTCCTGGTGAAGACACTAGAGAAACTGGTCCTGGTCTCCCAATCTGATGAGCTCATCTATGGACCTGTTTCAGTTTGCTTACCAGCCTGGCATCGGAGTGGGTGAACTGGATTCTAGACTACGTTACCAATCGACCACAGTATGCGAAGGCACGAGACTGTGTCTGACATTGTAGTTTGCAGTACAGGAGACCCACCGGGAAGCATCCTGGCACCATCCCTCTTCACCCTGTACACTACAGACTTCATGTCCCCTGCAAAAGTTCTCTTATGACTCTGCAATCGTAGGCCTCATCACAGATGAGGATGACAGGGAGTACAGAGAACTGATCCAAGACTTTGTTGACTAGTGTGTTCAGAACTGCCTTCAGATCAATACAGGGAAAACAAAAGGCCAGAGCAGGTTCTACCTGCTGAAGAGGTTAAGGTGATTTGGAGTGCAGGGGACACTCATGAGGACCTCCTTTGATACATTGGTGGCATCAGCCATCTTCTATGGAGTGGTCTGCTGGGGCAGCAGCATCTCAACCATAGATGAAAAAAGGACTAGACAAACTGGTCACGAAGGCCAGCTCTGTCTTGTAGGTGGTGACTGACAGGAGGATGTTAGTCAAGCTAACATCCCTGCTAGAGAAGGACTCCCACTCCCATGCATAAGACTCTGATAGCACCGGGCAGCTCTGTCAGTGACAGACTGCTTTATCACAAGTGCATGACAGAGTATTATCACAGGCCCTTGCTTCCTGCTGCTGTCAGACTGTACAACCAGCATTGCTCCCAGAAAATCTCATTTTCAAGAGACACCTTGCGAAAACATCAATAACACGGTTACAAAACAATACTGAGCACATTCACATTAACTTGGTATTATGGGTGCTAAGTAAGGTCTAGATCTTACTATTATCACTATTATTACAGAGGGGAAACCCAACAAATCCCTCTAAATAACTAATATTTATATCTTATTTATACTGTGTTATCTATTGCCTAATGTTTTCACACATGCCATAGATGTACCACTAATATCAGATGCGCTATTTTAAATTTAAATTGCCAAACATTTCAAGTCATTGCATTGTTTATCATTTATTCTTTCTGACAGGATATGAGCCAGCTTGCATGTTCATAATACTGGCATGCTTAAGTTAGCGAGACACCTATTTCAACTTTACCCCATGATTGTGTTGAAATGGTACCAAGAACTCCAGCTTTCCTACTAAAACACCAACATGAAAGAAAATGAAGTACTCACTGACAATTTTGTTTATGACAGAACATCTGCATAAAAGTAATAAGTCAGAGTCACTTCAATCCTATCCATTTTCAGTAGAGGAAAACATGTCATTTCAACAAAATGAGCTGGAAATTGAGTACAGCACATTGTCATCTCTACGACTGAGCTAGAGTGAGAAAAAAAAAGTAGCATGACCCATTTTCTTTTTGTCGCAGAGCTGAGACATTTCCTACAGTATGTGTTTATTAACTGGAGGTGTGAACTCTCCCTCTATGAGTTTTCACACTTACCTGTGAGGACAGTGGAGGAGAGCCTACAGACCATCCACCAACCCCCATCCCTGGTTGTCCTCCACAGCATCCTATCTTGTCAGTCCATTTTATTTCCCCTTATACCATGCCTCAGAGTAACCCACGAGGGAATATGCTTTTAATGTGTTCCCCTTTACCTGTCTCCAGGGCCCTTTTCACCTTAACAAACCCAGACTCTTCTCTCTCTTTATCACTCCCTCTCGCTCTGTCCTCCCTTCCTGACTGTAAATGGACATTTCATCAGCTTTGATGGATTTAAAACAGCAAATCCTGTATCTCTTAAGGTAACTGAAGAGAATTGTTTTAACAGGGGCCGAGCTAACTGGCTATTATAAACTGTATTTTTTATTTTAGGCCTGTCAGCCAAATATTAGGTTTTGAATTACATAATAATAATTGTGAAAAGCATCCATAAAAATCGAGTTTGAGGAAGAAAATACTGAAGCAAACAGTATCTCCATGCTAATCTGTAGCTTATATTAGAACACAACCCTCCATACAAGCTCACATAAAACCAATAAAACGAAGTGAATCAACTTAAACCTAAATCCTAACAAAATCCTCCTCTTTATCTCTACTGAACAGCTACATAAAAAGTTGTCCACAAAGACGTGAGCTTGAACAAATTTTCATAAGGATTAAGCCATACCAGCCCCTGCCCATCAACTCATCTTTGCACTAAGCAGACCAAAGCTGTAACCACTCTAAACAAAAGGCTAGATAGCAGACAGATGAGTGCCACATGTGAATGGAACCACATTGACCACTTAAGGACTTCTCTCCTCTTTGCCAAGTCTCCATGATACAAAGACTCAGGTTGAAAGAAGTTCAGTTACAAAGGTATCCCCTGCTTTGAAGCACTTCACAGCTGCTGACAAGTATGTTCTCAACACAGTGTATAGACGGAGCATGGGAGGACAGACAATTGGATCCAGTGTAAACACACACCTATTACCAGCCAGCAAAGTGTAAACACACAGTGCAGTTGTAAAGACCTCTACTTCAACACAAGGTGATCAAATACAAGGATGAAGTGACAGAAACAAAGCTCAAAGTCAGGATTCCGATTGCTCCAGCCACCTTCGTTACTCTATCCCTCTGTCTTTCATACGACTTATTACTTTCTCTGATTAGTCTGACGCATTTCAGAAAGGGCTACGCGCTTTAAGGCTGGGATGAACTGTGATACCTGGAGCGCTTTCAAATGTTCAACAATTGTACAACAACATGTGAAGGTAGACAGGAGTGATCATGTTCTCATTGAGCCTAGAGAGACTAATAAAGCACCCGTAATGAAACTGACATCCTACCAGAACAGCTTCAGTGCTCGTTGGCACTAGAAGGATGAACACCGTTCTTCCAAAAGACATTCCTCCAACATCTCCCATATGTGTTCAACTGCACTGAGATCTGGTGACTGTGAAAGCCACAGTATATTCACATCAGTTTCATACTCATCAAACCATTCAGTGAGCTCCTGTGCCCTACGAATGGGGACACTGTCATCCTGGAAGAGACCACTCATTTAATCAGGATGTTCCCTTAATTTGTCACCAGTATGTATGTATAAACAATACCTGGTGATCTTTTGCTGGGACGTAAGGGCATCATGTGGGTTTGTCGTGGCAGCAGAGGTGATGAGGGGAGAGACATGGACACTCCCTTGGCCAGGCTTAGTCTGAAAACGTCATCCTGTACGTAAGAATGACCACTGCCATGGCCCTGGAGTTGGGGGTTTCCCTCAGGTGGGAATTTTCCTTGGGCGCTGTGACAGTGAACATCACCTGTTAATGAGAACCATAAGATACAGATTTTACATAGAGGTTTGAGATTTACCTCGTGTAATAATATCTTTAAATGCTGCTACCCATTTAACTATGCACAGACCTTCAGCGGTGCCCAACATAATTATATCAACGACAGCCATTTAACACACTAAACACGTCTTATTTCTGTATTAATTTTCAAGGTACATCAATTGGAAGTACAATGAGGTGCTTGTGAAAGGTTTCGTATACTTAGGTTTGCACAAGCAGCGATTGCAAATATAAACAGCATCACTCCCCCTCTGCTACTGTGAAAAGCTGCAGAACTACATGTTTTGGTGTTAACCGTCCATGGGGTTATTGGCAATACATTACATTACAGTACTCTGATTCACTGGTAATATTCAATGAACCTATGAACTACTGCAGTTATGCTGTTTTTATAGACATTTGTTTAATTGCCAGTATATCAGAAAAACATTGTCCTTTGTTTTTGACCAGTACAACAACAATTGTATAAACCCATAGACCCATAGTTTTAAGAGTTTTGATGGACTAGAGGAAATGGGTGACAACATTCATAGGGCTTTGAATTAGTTTCAGTGGTGGAAAAAGACACTGTCAGAATGTGCCTGAGGAAACCAATTTGTTATTTCACTAGGGGGTCATCGGGTCCCAAGGGCCCGGATTGGATAGTTTTTCCAGGTACAGAGAAAGTCCATGATCACAAGGAGAACTATCAAAGCAACCTCTGTTCTACTCTCCCCACAGAGAGAACATGGCTTAAATAAACTACCCCAAGGACAGATTCAAACGATACATATTTTGTGATGTAGTAAATTACTTACTATAACAAATGTTCGTGGTCTTAGGGATTTTATATAACACATAAAGTATAGCCTGCAAAAGCCTTATGCTTAGACCAAACTGACCTTGAAGGTGACCCAGCTGAAACAATGCACTAAATCATTTTCTTTTACTACCATCCTGAGTCTGAACACCAGGACTCTACAAACTCAGAAGAAACCTTGGCAACATTTCGATGCTGCAAAAAGCAGCCTGGTTCTGAGAGTAAGACATTTGTGGGTATCTATAAAACAGACATGTTATCATCTGAAAATGTTTATACCCAATAATGTCAGCTTTCTGGGAGCAAATCACATGTGTTATTTCTATCTTAATGACACATTTTCCACTGTATCAAATGGGTTTACACAGATTTTACACATCAATATACCTTAAAGGTATTCTGTTAACTATTATTCAACCTTGACACAGAGACAGGTGTCACAGGCTTGCAGGAACATCCGTTTATACACCGTAGATAATAGTAGCTCTCATCTTACAGTAGAGTGGTCCCGAGCTGGATTATGACCCTGGGAGGCCCAGGGGCACTTCACTTTTGGAGGTGGCCCCTCCCTACCTGCCCAATGATTAAGACTTGCCAGGCATAAAATTCTGATTTGGATTTTTGACTTTCAGAAAACCTCAGACAGCCAGGGGCCATCATATGTGGACAACTGTCTCAGTGACTGGAAGGCTATAAGGAAACCAGTTCAGATGATTCAAATTAAAAGGCAAAATTCACATGACGTATTCGACTTAGTACAGCAACACACAGTACCCAATGCACTGTCTGCAGTGAAGTGGTTTTTCAATAAACGGTCAAACGGTTCATCTGTGTGCTGGGTCACTGTCAAGTTTGCAACAATCATTTTGTCAGTCTATTCCAACAACCCCTGTAGCTCTTTTCTCCCCAAAGGAAGGATTCTTGGTATCATTCTTCAATCATCACTGTGGACTTTGTGATTGCCTGCAGGGGTTGATGAGACAATTAATGCTGTAGATGCCAAATATGATCTTAGTTAATAGTCTGTATTGCCAAAAGTATGTTAACAGGAGGTAAAATGGAAGAGAATGAATAGTTATTGATTCTCAGAGGAAAGGCATCCTTTCAGAAATAATTCTGACCACAAACATACTGCAGGTTGGTATGCTAATTTCCTTTAAGGGTGCAAACGGGTCAGACTGAACACATAATCATGTCTCAGTTTCTGCAACAATTTGAGAATGTTACAGATAATTGATGGGTGTTTATGAAATCAGCCAAACACCACTGATTGCCATACCAGAATACGACATCAGAAATAAGTCACATATTAGGTTGGTAGAGAGATAAACAAAGATAACTGGTAGAGGTGGGAAAAGAAAGCAGAAGAAACCTGGGATCCTGCAAAGGACAGGGCCGCATACTATGTATTTAAACCCAGGGTCACGGGCCAGTGAGCATTTCTCATGCCACTGGGGCACATGAGAAGCACATCCAGTTAGTGGAGTAAATATGGCTGTGTCACTGACCACTGAGTTAAGATAACATGTGATTCACAAAGCCCACTGGCAGGCTGTTCATTGTTAAACATTTCACGGAAAAAGTTCTGTTGTCAAATCTGGCAATCACAAGCAGGCGATTTCAAGAAGTCTGTTTTCTTAATCTGTACCATTCATTTTCTCTCTCTCTCTCTCTGCAGAGCTACAACAAAACATTGACCACTCCTCATCAGCTATTAATTTAACATAAAGCTTAGCTTTCAAGTTACTGAATTTAAAAAAAGAAAAAAAAAGAGAAATTTTAGCTGCACAGCTCACGTTGCTGTGGAGTCAGTAGCCTACAAATGGTCAGTGATAGTCACTGCTTGTTGTTTCTCCCCAACAAAGTAACTGCCAGCTCAGCTGAGCTTCTCTAATTATGTTTTTCCATCAGCACAGATCAGCCTGATTTAACAGTGCCGAGCCAGGCAGGCACAAGATGGACTCCATTACCATCTGTTCCTTCCGTGCTGACTCGGGCTCAGTTGGCCCTGCCTCTACCCGGGGCCAAGTAGGTCTGAGGTGTGCCTTCAACAGAGCCAGCTCATCTAGACACATGATCGGCTGAAACACTGCACCAAGGGAAAGTCCTTACACATTCAGGATTCACCTTTTATCTATAATTTCACTCCAGCAAAATTTGAAAATAGAGCTTCTCACTTGACCTTCTGACAAGGGGTGAAAATAATGACCAGGCACCTAAGGCTCCATGTTGCAAGCTAGTAACGCCACGAGTCACGTGTCACTTCTCAGTGGCTGGCGCACCCCACGTGCTCAGGATGTGGAAAATAAATGCATTTTATTGTGCAGTGGAAACACAGCCACACTGACTTGGGAACAGCGTGGCCGCGCACGCCTCGGATCAGCAGTGATGACCCTTGCTGATGGAAAAAGGCTACAGTCACTTCTCAAAGTATTTAGACCCATTCACTTTTTCCACAGTTTATTCTGTTGTAGATTTTATTTTAAATGCATAAAGGTGCCTCAAAACTGGAATGAATGTAATAAACGGTTGCTTCCATATGTTGTCAGTAACACAAATTTTAAAATGTGAACTGCAAAAAATTTGTAGCTGCAAAAGAAAATCCTACTTTGCTATTCAGAAAGCAGTATTTAAAAGTGACAGAACAAATATGAACAAAGTCCAGTGAGCAGCTTGAGATACCAAGAGCAAAAGCCATATCCATGCCACAGCCTGGTTCATAATAACTGCACAAGACCAGGCTTGCAGGGCTATGGCTTGAAGGAGAAAACATCACCCGTGAGAAAAACCCCTCTCACTTCTCTTCCTGTTAAACCACCAGCAGTTCTGCAACCCAAGCCTTATGATAAGTTAGAATTGTACAAGACAATCACATTTCATGTTCCTGCCAAACTGTTGTATATGAAAGTGGGGTTAAGCATGCTGGCCAGCAATATACCCCTCTTATGATGTCACAATTCTCTACACTGATATCAAATTCACATTTAAGAATAGATATTCCCTTTCATGGCTTCACCTATCAAGATATAATAATTTAGTTTTTCTCACAGAAATGGCTCCCCACAGTCTCTACACATGACTTAGTACAAGACTTACAAATGACTTTACCTGACTGCTAGTTTGCTCAGTGGCGTCCAAGCCCTAGATGGAAAAAGCAGGTTTTGCTTTACTGAGAACCAATCCTGCATGGAAAGACCATTCTAGCCATAGAGCTGGCTACCAGTGAAGTTCAGTAATTCTACAACATTCAAATTGCCCACTCATCATAACCACAAATTAAAATGTATGAATTATCAACCTGAAGAAAAGATTTAATACCTAACTAATAATACAGACTTAATGTCAGCAGACCCATCTAAATCACAACTGCAGATGTGGCAAACCACAGTAATGACACTCAGCTTTATTTATGTTTTCAGGACTGTGCTGCTTGGGGAGACCACAGCAGATTAGCACTGACGCCCGCCTGCAGCCAGAGGTTTGATGACATCACTAAAAACTGAACTACAAAAGACAAGCTACTATTAGCATCCAGTTTCCCTCCTTGGTAAAATGGTTGTTGTTGGGCTGCTGGGCTAATCAGAAACAGAGGCCCGTTTTCTCCATACCTCCACCTCACCACGGGGGAAACATAAGGTGTCCTGTGTTTTAAAGGGCTCCTAAACAAAGAAAAATGCCAGAGACAGGAAGCAGAAAGGTTGCAATGACACCTCTGAATACCCTAAGACATGTGAATGACCCAAGGGTCACCCAGCCAAGGCTACCTCGGGTAAACTGTAAAAGCAGGCAGCGTAGTTACTTGCTGCAATCACAGCAGGTCATGGCTGATAAGGGTTTCAGCCATATACTGTAGCATGTTAAAGTGATTATGGCGAGCCTGTAATTTTGGTTGCTTCTGAAAACAAGAGGCACCACATAAAAGTCGGTCGTCCGAGTACTGGTGAATAGGCTGCAGCATGTCACGGTGACTGCACTGCCATCTGACCGATACTATATAACACAGAGGGACACAAGGACAAGAAACTTGCCAGTGCTATTTCAGTTACTTTCCTAAACCATGGTTGGGGCAAGGCCTGCAATTTCAGCCCCTGCTGTGGTCAAGGAAATCAACCCTTTCTAATTATACAGTGCTGCCCCCAAGATGATGTAAAAATGATTACAGTCCCTT